ATGCACTCGAACGTCTTCCATTTAAAACCCTTGATTTGCCTTGGTGCTTGAGTCTCACGGAGTGCCTCTTGTTCCTTCCCTTAAGCTCCAGTTCCATTGAGTTCCCACCATGTGGGAAGATTCCTTATTCCCAAGGGAGAGGTGACACCCTCACCCCCAATGCACCTGCTCTCACATTCATCTAACTAAAGGGCTTTGGCAGAGGCTGAGTGGAGCTGGGAATGGAGTCATGTCGGACACCTAGGGGATTTTTGATCCTGCCCTGTGTTTTTCTGGTGTTCCATCATAGCTTATAAGCTAAATCCAGTTTTGTTTTGTTGACATCTGACTTTCCAAACTTTGATTCATGGTGCATAGGCTTGAGAGGGTATGTATGAGTTTTCCCTCCCTCATCTTCTCCACCCAGGAGGAGATCCAAAACTGAATCCTGCACCCACAAATCAACTTGAATACCACCATTGTCACTTAGCGGTGGTTTTATTTATGTGTTTAATAACTTCAAGATATCTATCAGGGGTAGGAGAACCAACTCAAGAGTTAGGGTTCTAAAGATGCCTATACATTGGCATCTTTTATTTTTCTAACATTATTTATTGTTTGTTTTAAGATCTCACTACATAGCTAAGGCCAGCCTCAATGTTTGTAATTCTCCTGCCTCAGCATTGTAAGTGCTGGGATAACAGGTAGGAACCCCTAGACCCAGCTTATATAGAAAGATTAGTGAAGATGACATTTATGTATTTTATTTTAATGCCAGCCAACTTGATTACAGAAATGAAGAGGGTTTGGGGTTTTTGTTTGGCACTACGTTGCACTTACTAAACATTTATTATCTGCTTAATGGATACAAATCTTAAATCAAAATGTACATAGATGATAAAATACGTTTAACTCAACAAGATAAGTGTTGCATCATAAAGGAAATGAATCATTAAGAAATACCCTACCTTGTATTGAAGAATAAATCCATTGGTTTGTGTTTAATCTGTGCCCAGGTTATCTGCCCAGGTAATTGCTTCAAATACATATTTGACCACATATCAGCATTTATGAACCCACATCCAGTATGCAAGTAAGAAAATTTCCATTTTTTTCATCCTATTAGTATAAAAGAACTGTGATGGAAAGATGTGTTCTTTGCCCTTGAAAGTGACCATACGACTTTATGACGGATGACGGCTATGCTGTCACCAGCAACTGTGGGAGAAAAACACTTGAGACAGGAAGAAACACAGGCAGTGACTGCAGAAGTCTTAGCATATGGATATGGATAGGCATTAACGTGCTTGTTTCACAGAATCGCTGTGCTCAGGAAGAGCTGTTGATGGGCAGGAAGGCCATTGTTTATGAGCTATCTGGAGGGAACGACATAAGTAGCATGTGATAGGTACTGCCTGTCTAGGAAAGTTTACCCAGAGCAATCAACATTTCATGTGTAGGGTCACTGGGAAAGTGAATGCATACCTGTGGGTAAACTCAGGTCCCAATCCTCCTGAAGTGCCAGCTACCTCTTTATTTTCAGGCAGGATCACTCATGGTCTGGGACTAAAGAGACAGTTAGGTACCAAAAAGATGACCAAGGCTGGGAATGAGTTCAGTTAGGTGCTCCTCCAAACCAAAGAGCAGGCAGATGGAGCACCCTGCCCTGATGGAGCTTGCTTTCTAGCACCAAGCAAGAGTGCTTCTTCTCTCTTCATACAATCCAATGTACTTGATTTAGACACAGGAGACCTGTCTGTGGGAGGAAATGTTATGTGTGTGGGGGGGGTATACAAAGGAAAGATGAAAATGGAGAATGAAAGAAAGGAGAAGATGGATATGAAGATGAAAGGAAATAAGGAGGAGAGGAGGAAGGAAAAAGGAGTAGAGGAAGGCAGAAGGAATGGAGGAGGGGGAGGGAGGAAAGGGAAGGAGAAGACAGAGGGAGAGAATGAAGGATGGGGAGTCCAAACACCCTCCTCCTGCCCTTCTTACTCTCCTCATCTCTCACTCTGGCTGGCTCCTCCCTTCTTCCTTCCTACCTGACTTCCCTTTGTTCATTCAGGACTTCACAAGAGGGTATCTGGAGTGGGACAAGGTGGTGCACACCTGTCCTTCCAGCACTTTGTAAGCAGAGACAATGGTGTCACTGTGAGGTGAAGGCCAGCTTATTCTACATAGTGAGTTCCAAGCCATATAGAGCTATGTAGAGAAACCCTGTCACAAAAAGAAAGAGCGAATGAAGAAGGGGGAGGAAGGGAAGGGAAAAAGGAAGAAGCCAGGGGACATTAACTCCACAATAGAGGACATCAGAAAGCATCCACCTAGGGCACAACACTTTCTACATGAGGACTGTTGCCCACAGCAAGATCACTAGAGACTCTGACTTGTTCAGGGGCACTTAGCCTCCCTGGTGGCAATGTTGGAACCAGATGTTGCTCCGTGTCCCCTTCACTGGGAAAAAGGTTGTGCTAATGAGCTTTGCTTGGAAGAGCCCAGAGCCTCATCTCAATGTCTACAGGCACTTATCCCACCCAAGGAAATCAGAGTCTCAGAATAGATGCCTCACTCTCCACACTGAGCAGTGCCTTCTCTCTTCACTCCAATGACAAGCTTCTGCTTCACACGGAGGCACCTCATCTCCACAAGTAAATCCTCCAAGCAGGCTCATCACCTGAGAGAGAGCTGGTCTCCCTCCTGCGGATCTATAGAGGGGGCTAATAAATGGGTCAGCATAATTACTGAGTGTCTTCACACAGCAAGCCAGCTGCTTAACCAGACAGTACACTTTTCATTTTCCTTATTTTGAAAATGCAAAACATTCTATGAACATTTTTATTTGAATCATGGTGAGATAGAATCAGGATGGAAGCATTCCCAAACATCTCCCTGGTCCTGAAGCAAGCCTCTCTTATGCTGAATAGCCCTAGGCTTGGATGAGCTCAGCATTTCCTGCTTTGCCCAGTAAGACATGAGACTCTATTTCTGCCATATTGGTTGAAACATAATCCAGGAAACTTGGGTGATGAGGACCGCCACGAGAGTTCAATAAATCCACACAATTTGTTTTCAATCATAATCATAAAAAACAGTCCAACGTAAACTTCAGGGAGAAATAAGAGGAGAAAGTCAATCTGGCTTTGCTCTATGATCTTAGCATTTTACTCATGCTGCAAAGAAAAGTACCATAAAAGCCCCTGTTCAGCCTTCAAGAATGTGTACCAAATTCCAGACAATCACTGACAGTTGATCTTCACTTCAAGGGAATAATCCCTGCTAAGAATGCATACAGAATTGTGAACAGCCCTGGCTCATCCACCACAGAGGTACAAACCCACTGTGTGCCCAGATGGAAGGTTTTGCTCTAAGACCTCCAGGGTCACTATGTGGCACCTCCACCGCCTAGAGAACAGGTACTTCCTGGGGACTCCTGCACACTTTTCTAATTTACTTTGTCACTTTTTTATGTGTGTTCCTCCCACAATCCCCACCCAGGTTAACACCTGAGTGTGTGTGAGAAAGACTCTTGGATATGGTAAGAGACATGGGATAGAAGAAGTCTTCTGCTCCTGAAGGTGATGGCAGGAAGGGCCTTGCCCCTCTCGGCAGTGTGGATACAAGGTGGAGAATACCTTTAGCATGGTATAAATGAGAATATGCTCACTTGGTCAGAAGTCCTGCAGAAGCCTGGGAAAGGGAATTTTGGAGTGTGGGGCTGTTACAGACGTCCTCTTGTGCCTCTCATTTCGACTTTTGTGTCCTTACTGTAGCTTTTACCAACAGCGACTTTTCATAAACATCTTTCAGGAATCTTGTCTATGGGCTAAGGTTTGTGGTACAGTGTCTTTTAAGTGACCTGGGGAGTCAGCATAGATAGAACAGTGTGAGGTTCAGCAAGAGACTGGGAAGCTAGAGCCTGACTCTTTTCTCATGGCTGCTTGGACTTCCTGAGGAGTCCATATCTACAGGCATGAGAGCTCCCCAAGAGGAGTTTCAGACTTGAGGAGTTCCCAGGTGTAGCTCCTCCGCCAACTCCTCACCATGCCTGGTACTGTCTCCTCAGATAAGAGCACCCAGGTACCCCATTCTTCCCAAAGAGGTAGTTAGCAGACTTCCCTGTCTTCAGGTAAAGGCATATGTGCACTGATGCTTAGGGGCTTGTGAGATGCTGATAAACCATTGAGGACACAAAGCGGTTTTCACATTCACAGCACACATCTGCAAGAATGCCTCAATTTGAGTTCCTGACAAAGACTGGGGATGCTGCTCAAGGGAAGGGCACTTGCCTAGCCAGAATGTCTAAAGTCCTGGATTCCACCCCCAATAATTTCCCTGCAAAAAAAAAAAAAATTAAATTTGTGACATGCCAGGTATGGATATAAAAGGAATGTAAGACTATAAATAAAAGTAAATAGGGGGAAATTGTGAGAAAAAATAATAAACTCTTAATTCTATGCAGTTTGGCCTCAAAGATAACTACCAGAATGTAAAAAAAAAAAAAAAAAAAAAAAAAATGTGTGTATATGTATAGATACACAAATATGTGAATATTTGCATACACAAAAATGGGAGCATATACATACACATGCATATGTATATGTATAGGATATATCCAAAATCATGCCTATACAAACATGTTTTTCAAAAGGCAATGAGGTTTCCCAGACATGTACCCAAATATATGCATACACATACTCACATGTATGCATATACAGCGGTTGAAGCATTTCACATAAGGATTCAAATTTACTTTTTCTCTACTTTAGGTTTATGTGGGGAGCTTTTTCCCCGGTCTCAGGAATTCTCTGTAAATGTCTGTCATTTCTCACATCCTCATGGTCAGAAACTACAGTCGTACCCATGCCATGTTCACATGTTTGTTTCCAGTCTTGAGGCACTGCTCTCTGCCCTTTGAATCTTACTTTAAGAGGCTAGACCCTGAATAAACAGGATTGGGGAAATGGTCCTCACCAGACTACATATGCATCTCATGGTATCCCACTCTCTCCTCTCTCCCATAGTGCCTGGCTTCCCATATCCAGCCGCCACTGCTGCAGCTGCTTACCGAGGGGCCCACCTGCGAGGCCGTGGCCGCACCGTGTACAACACCTTCAGGGCTGCAGCGCCCCCACCCCCAATCCCGGCCTATGGCGGGTAAGTGCTGCACCCCGCTGGGAGGGGGGGCCTCCCTGCACCTGCTCTCCCTCCCCAGAGGCACGGAGTGTTTGCGAGCGCATGATGGTCTTGACCACCCCACCAGAACCTCCCCAGCATGCAGCCTAATGCGCGCCTGCTGCCAAGCACCTTGCAAAGAGTATTGAAAAATGAGTGTAATTTGTCTGGTCATGGTTGGTGCCTTTAAGCATTCTACATGTCACATGTTGTTATGTAAATTCTCTTTGAGACTGAATGCTGGAGAACAGAGAAATGGTTACAGCCAAGGATGTATTTCTGATGACTGCAAGCATCTGGTTATTAAGGAGGTTGGACTACATTTACCCCTTGAATTCAAAGGGACATGAGGTTTCCCATACATAAAAATCACTGGGGTTATTTTGCTTCCCTCCCCATGGACATTTTGCACTCCCAGATGTACAAACTTTTGCCTGAGAAAATTAGGTGTTGAGTCAAACACAACATTCCAGATAGGAATGAAATTACAGTTAATTTGCCTTTTACTTGCGTTTTCCAAAATGGCCCAGCCTGTCCTTTCTCCGCCATGGGGAAATGGATTTGTTTTCTACTGTCAACTGAGATTTTCTGTGATTGGATATTGTAACTGACAATTAAAGATCTAAGAATGGTTAGGAAGAAAGGAAGAAAGGAAGGAGGGATGGGGGAAGGGAGGGAAGGAAAGCAAGATTCACTAATAAAAAGGAAACCACCCTGAAATGACGCTTCCTCTGCTCTTTCATTAGGGATCTTGGAAGGGTATTTGTCCACCTCTGGGCATGAAGAGAGAGAAGGGCCTCTAAGGTAGTGGCCCTACATAGGACAAGGTCTAGGATATTTTTGATTGGTACAGCAGGGTAGACATGGGTGATGGTGTCTAGTGGATAGACTCCAGACGTGTTACTTGAATGTCCTGTGGTCCTTAGGCTAGCCCCACCCTCAAGGCAGAGCATTGCCTGGCTCAAAGTGTGAACTGTACTCTCCTCCCCTCTCCAGTTGCATAGAAGATTCAGCTATACTGAGGAGGATCTGGTGTGAGCTTCTCCAGACCAAGGACTAGCTTTCTCATCTGTAGAAAGAATGTGTCTGTGTCATGGTCATATGAAAAGGGTTAAATGCATTTTCTTAAAAGCTTTGTTGCATATAAATCTTTTAGGAAATCTGAGTGACCCCAGCTCACTCACTGTACTGATGATGAAGGGAAATGCTCTTATCATTATTTATTCATATCTTACCCACTCCAAAAGAGCCCAGCTGAAGTGTGTGAAAAAAACAAAGACTATGAAGCAGACTGGAGCATATACAGGAGTGAGGCAAGGTGAAATCGTCAAAACGGGAGAATAAAGGCAAGAAAAGGAACAAGGTTACTTACTGACACCAGGTTTCTGGTGTAAGTCAGTGCAAGGTTTCTTAGTGGGTCAAATGACAAGAGGGATTGTGGATCATAAGAAAATAAGAACCAACTGGCTTTAAAGTCTCCCCATAGCCCCAGTGTATCCATATGCCATATAAAGGACCTTTGACTCCATAATCTGCATAAGGCCCACCCAGCATGAGCCCATTTGATACATGGGTTATGGAAGGCATGGGGGTGGGATAGAAACAGCTAAGCAATCATCTGGGTTCATGTTATTGCTAAAGAAAGATTCATAAGCCATAAGTGCAAAATAGCACATTTAAGCCACTTTATTCTGTCTGAAAATCAACATCTTAGTACATGGTAATTGTAGCTTCTCTGTATATACACCCCTAGTTAGTATCTCACTACTATATTGAACAGGAAAAAAATAAGTAAAATTATATGGCCTATCCTCCCATGAACAATTTATAAAAAGCTCAACATAACATACCTGCTATAAAATTGAAATTTACTAACTTATAATGAATGTGCTCTTTGCCGGGAATAACCATGCATAACTAATTAATGCCACGTTCGCCAGGGAGAAACAGGCACTTCCAAATGGTACACAACATGTTTGTGACTCTTTTGGAAAGGATGAAAATGTAATATTCCAGGACTCCTCCTAACTATCCTGGCTGTGATGTTGGCGTGTGCCCTTCTGCTTCCTTGAACATGTCATTGGTCTATATAGAACACACAACAGAACGCACATACTGGCATGTGCTGAGAAAAGGATATTGTGTTGAACTGCACTCAGGGAAAGATCTTATGGCTGAAATTCTTGAATTAGAAGTTCAAATATAATTCTCAATGCCAGAAGCTAGAGCAATAGCTCACTGACTTGTAGTAGTTGTGAAGACCTGTGTTTGAATCTAATACCATGTTAAAAAAAAAAAAAAAAGCTAGGTATGGCTAGGCATGCCTTTAATCCCAGCACTGGGAAGCTGAAGGGAGCTCACTAGCCAGCAAGACTAGCACAAAAGAGCAAACTTCTAGTTTAGTGAGCCCCTGTCTCAAGATAATGAGGTAGAGAATGATAGAAAATGCCATAGGTCCTGCATTGCTCTCCATGCACACTCATGTGCAAGCACCATACATACACATACCACACAAACAAATTAATTAATTACTTAATTATTTCATTATATAGGATTCTCAACATGGGGCAGAAGGCTGGTGTTAAGAATCTGTAAGACACAAAGTACTGGAGAAAAACGGAGATTTGGTTAGGTGCCTGTTTCTCTATTCCCCTCTGGATTCATTGGCTTAGATTACAAAGAAGATAGGCCATCTTTCAAAGAAAACAAAGTGGTACCCAGAGCATAGATTTCCCAGAGGAAAGAGGTGCCTGATCCTGAGTTGAGGAGAAACAATGAGCAATAAGGCTGTAGATCCAAGCCTGTTTCCAGGGCCTACATACCAGGTTGAAGGTAAGCCGGAAACTATGGATTCCCAGAGCTACTGGCTCAAAAGGCCTTTGGAGGAACGCTTCCAGGCTTGACTGAGGTCTTTATTCCAGCCCTATTTAGCCACGTTTTGTGCCCCATTGTATACTACCTGTAGCACATCCACAGGAATTTCTGCAGATTGATATGACAGATGATAAGATAGAGGGCTGTTTACCAAGGGAGGGTCCTTAGCCCAGCATGGGTGTTCAGACAAGGCTTCCCAGAAAAGAAGACATGGGTGACAAGATTGTGTCCCTTTGTTTCCAAACTGGCATATTAAGAACCTGTCCTGTGAGTACCCACACACTCAGTCATCTCCATGTTTTCTATGACCTTGCCTCATGAAGTAAATTTGTTTAGAAAGATGTTTTCTTATTGTCATCAAATGAAGATGTATCTATCTACAACCTACTTTTCACACAATATCCAATATGAGTCTGTTGCTAAAATTTCCATCCCCCAAAGTGTTCTTTATTCTATGTTCATATGGGGTTTCCATATTTTTTCTCTCTGATAGAAAACACATGCACACACATACACATGTGCTCACACACACACACACTCACACATGTGACATATAACAGAAACTTCTTAGCTACCTTTGTGGAGCCAAGGATAGTCCTTGGATATATCCAGCACTGATATAAGCATCTAAGAAAACTCATTAAAGGCACTCTTATCTGGGTCCATTTTCTGCCCTCCCAGCAGTTAAACTACATGGATCATGAAGAGGTCCTATTCTGTTTTCTCTGGCATACATAAATAGAACTATCTGGAAATATCAATTGTGATCATCACTCCTGGAGCAATACTTCTGCCCATGGACAATAGAGGGATGAAGGAATAAGCAGACAACCCCAAACGTAGCCAGCAACTCACTATCAGCTGCCAATAGTAAATGAATCAGACTCTGGAGAATAAATACAGGATTTTACCACCCTAGAAAGCTACAAGGAAATGCAGTGTACTTGATAGGAGAGTAAAGCATGCACCAGCTCCATAGGGTTGATGAAGGATGAAATAGGAAGAGCCCTACACGGTTACAGCTCAGTAAGACCAATGCTAGGGCACATTTGCTGGACCGCAGCTAATCTTGTTGAGCTTGATGTGACTATTGACATTTTTGTAAGTTGTCCATGTTCCTCCCTCTCCGTGCTCCCCTTTTCTTGAGGTGGTACAAGGTTAATCTTGCATCTCTTCCTTCCTTCATGTATATTTTACCTCTTTACTAGGGGGCCCCTGCAGTTCACAAATCTCATATTACCCCCAAAGCACAGGCATAGTCTTACGAAGAGGCACACCAAAAGTTTGTGGATTCCATTGACTAAACAGTATCTCAGCTAGTGTCAGTCATCTCAGAGTCCAATGGATTTTTCTATTTCTTCTCATCTTTACCGATATTTTAGTGGAGAAGTCACAATGTCCTATCATCCAATATTCACGTCATATTCACGAGAAATTATCCATTATGAAGTTGCCATTTAAAGTAGCTTGCAGACTGACAGTATATGTGGAATCGGATACACACTCACTAGACTGAGCACAGCATCCCATATAGGACACAGCAGGTAATCCCATTCCTTGAGCAGCAGCATAGGCCTTGTTTCACTACCCATTAAGTAATTATTAAGTAGATACTGATCAAGTGTGTACTATATATGTTGTTTGGTGATACAATATACTGCCCTTAGGAAACATCCTAAGAGATGTAAGCCTAAATATCCAACATTGGCTATGGGGCTTTAGTCTTTGTTCTATGGTATCTATAACATGTATTTTCCTTGTTGCTTCTACAAAATGCTAGACAAAGACAACTTAAGGAAGCAAGGAATGCTTTGTCATGGCTCACAGTGGATACAGTCCACTACAGCAGGGACAGCATGACAGCAGGAGCTTGAGGCTGCTGCTCACACTGCATTCTCAATCAGGAGGCAGAGAGGATGAATGCTTGCTAGTGCTCTCCTGGCTTTTCTCCTTCCTCTTCATTCTGAGACCCCAGGACCATTGCTGCCCACAGTCAAGGTGGTTCCTCCCACCACAGTTAACCCAATCTAGAAACTTCCTCACAGATATGCCCAGAGGCTTGTCTCCAGGTGATTCTAGAGCCTGTCAAGTTGATCATCTATTGACCA